TGCCGCCACTTTTAAGGCAAAGCGAAACCAGCCCTGCCACCAGCGTATGCAACCCCCCCTCCCCTCCCCGCCTGGAGGGGCTCCGCGCCCTTTTGCGCCTGGCATCACCTACCCACCCCGCCCCCCGCCGCCCCCAGCCCCCAAACTCGCATTCCTTCCTGCGGGGCGGCCTGGCAGGTCACAAGCGCCCCTCCGGGCAAGGACGCGGCTGCAATCCCTACGCGGGGCGGCAGCTCTGCTGGCTCCCCCTTCGGCACCCGCTCCCTGAGGAAGCCGCGATGCTCCCTGAGAAGGAAGGTCTGTGGTGGGGATCATCAGGGCCTGCCCTGGGGAGGAGTGATTGGCGGAGGAAGGGGAGTGTGGGTCCCGCAGAAGAGCCACATCTAGAGGCGGGGAATGTAGGCGCCGCGAGGGGGTGCGGCACATTGGGACGGCACCCTGCACGTGGGAGATAGGGTCCTCTTGATCAACGGGATAGACATCCAGGCAAGCACCGCAACCCTAGAGTCAGATTCGACTGGCTTTCGAGCAAGGGAACCTTTACCTTTAAAGGTAAGAGGGGGTGCTTTGCGCATGCGTGAAGCTCGCCATTCTCTGGATGGCTGCCTATGCGCATGTGCAAACTGAGGTGTTTTTTTTTTAAAGCTGATGCCCACCGTGTGTGAACGGGCATACAGCGATGGGATCCGCAGACAGGAGGTTAGTGTGATCGCGTTTCAGCCGGCATAAACTGCACCGGTTGAAACCGGTGCAGTTTATGCCAGCTGAAACGCCCCGTCTGAACGCACCCCTAGTGTACTGCTCCTAGTATTTTGAATTCAGTTCATTTGGGCAGATCTAAGTATGTCCAGTCTGACACACAGTCCTTTTGTTTTTAGGTAGTTTTGGCTAAGTCTAATGTGTGACATAATTTGTGTTCTAGGTTTTTTTGGTATTTGGGGATTTGGAAGGGCAACCAAGCAAGCCAACAACACAGCTAAAAAGGCACCAGAGAGCACCACTGTTTATTCTTTGGATCTTACTGGGGATTTGATTGGTCACTCATCAGCTGTGCAGGTTTGTTGGAAATGGGGATAGTAAATGGTGAATGCCAGCATTCTTTTAATTGGAGGGTTGTCACTCTGTGTAGGACAAGGGGAAAAGAATGTGATTTCTGAATATGATTTCTGACACTCTCTCCTTGGTGTATATTGACAGCTGTCACTGTGGCTTCAAAAGTTTAATCATAATAGATCCAGATTTTGGTATGTAACCTAGAATCTTTTGATTAGAGAAACTTATAGCAGAACATATATTTTATATCTGCATTTCTGTGTATAAGAAGCCTCTGTAGAAGGAATTAGGATGCAATAAGAATGGAATGTTATTTAGAAGTTGCAAGGCCGCCGAGAGCAAAGTTTAATGTGATTCACAGCCCTTATCAGATAGCTCTCCACATGCGAGGCCAGGAAGGACCCAGTGTTCTCTAATGTTCCCAGTGTTCTGAAGATAAGGTAAACAAGTGTAATTACTGACACTACTGAGAGATGCACTGAGTCAAATGATGCTTGTATGATGTTAACTGCTTGGTACCAATTAGAGATTCTTTAATGTGTAAACTATATGTGATGTCATTTGGGGTATAAGACCTTCTGCCCTTCCTGGTTATGGGAGAATACAGTTTTGGAACTGCTAAGGCATTCAGCCCTGTATTTCCTGTTTCAATGCATTAAACAGATATTCATCTAACTCGTTGGACTCCAACTGTGTGTTTCCAATTCGGCACGGGAGCACGCAGGCACAGATTTGTGCATCACTCTGCAGTAACCCAAAAAGGTGCTAGACAATGGACATAGATGAGTTGAGAGAGTAGAAGAGAACTGAAAGATTATGGGGACAGTGTTGGGAGGGGGAGCGGGGGGGGGGAAGGCAAGAGCAAGAAAGAGTGGTGAACCAGAGACAGCAGGCAGAGGAAGTGCAGGTGGGTGAGAGATCAGGTTGGAAAGACAGAAGGATTGGAAGAAGAAAAAGAGCGAGGAAATGAAGGGAAAACTAGAGCCAAGGGAGGGAAACAAGCAGAGATGAAACAAGGGGGCAGCTGGGGGAGGGAGAAAATGCCTCTTTTTTTCCCTTGAGTCCTTGCTATTCTCTTTCCTCTTGTTTTATTATAAATTTGCACAGAATTCTCCACTGCTGTATTGCAGCTCTTTATTGCCAAGACTGTTAATTGCAGGTTTTTCCATAGAGGTTTATGGAGTGTAAATGTAAAAAAACACAAACAAAGCAAACCTAAGTTGATTGAAACCAACTATTAGAGACAAGAGCGATGCATTATTTATAGTTCTGCTTAAAAAGTTGAATAGAAATGTTAAACCTTTCTGATTAAAACGTAAAATTGGCCTTGCTACATAAGCATACCCATATCCTCTTTACTTAGATATTTTGTCATGTAGTATGCAGAGTTTGGAATAAAATCTAAAGGAGTGCACAATTAAGCCAGTGTGTCCAGGCAGGCTTCTCCCTTGTGTTTCTTGAACATCCTTCCCCCATGTCATATGCCAGCCCCCTTTTGAAACTGAGGAAAGTTCTAATATAAATTGGGTTATGTTGTAGTGGTCTTCTGTTCAAAGAAATGTCAAAACCCCTGTAGAGTCTGCCCAAGCCTTTTGGAAATGTAAAGTAGTTATTTTGCATCTGGGCTGTATTGTTCTTGAATATTTCTTAAATGATGATTCACTAGATACTAGGGGCGCAGAGTTGAACACTTTGCTGCTTTGATCTATACTATTCCATAACTGCACCTCTTGATGCCTCCCAGGTTCTTTGGAGCCTTTGAACCAAGCCCACTCAATTTTGTGTTCATGGAAAAGGTTCTTAAGGAACTTTGGCTATATATAAAAGCTTAAGTCTAGAGAGCCACTTGTAGAATGCCACTTCCAGAACGAATCTTCGCTGCTTCACCCCCCTTATTGCAGCCTCCCCCACCACTAAAAAAGCAGCCCTTTCAGGTTTGTGGACTTCTGGGGATGCCACAGGATGCAGTTTACTGCACTGTACTACAGTGAGACGTGTAAATTCCTCCATGAGAAGATAGGGTGTGGATCAAACCTCATGTTATCTTGAACTTGCCATTTTGTGCATATATGAATTACCTACTTTGACCAACTTTTTATAGTGCTGAACAAGGCCAATTGATTATATTATGTTAATAATGTGGTTTTCATTGCAGATGTTCCTCTATTTCGGTGAACATGGTCTGGCAACGTGCTCTGCTGATCATCTCATTATTTTTTGGAAAGATGGAGAACAAGAGTCTAGACTGCGTAGCTTAATGTTATTTCATAAATTAGAACAAAGTGAAGATTTGCAGCTTGGGATCTGAGATGACTTAACAAGAGATAAAAGTACATATGAAACACAAGTTATTTACAATTCTATGCAGAGTAACTCCAGTCTAAGCAATTTGATTTCTCTGCATAGCGTTCAAATGTTAAAATCTCAAATGCTGAATATAAGTTTGTATTGTATATCTTGACTCCTTAAAATCCTTATGATTAAATATGTTTTGTTGTCATTGGATCTGTAGTTGGTATTAATATACAGGTAGATTCGTTTATCCCTCTCAATCATTGTCTTCTGGCAGCAGGTGAAGCCCTTTCTGTTTCATCTGGTATACTTTTACTGATCCTCTTTCTTGTTTAATTGCTGTTTTTATACACATAAACACATTTATATACAGTTGATTAAAAGTTGTTTTTAATGTCTTTTTAATTGTACACCACACTGAGGGTCCTAATTGAGCAAAAAGGCGGCATACATGTTTTAAATAAAATAAATGTGTCAGGTATGAATCCCAAGATCTGAAGAAAAAGTTAGGGAGAGGTCCAAACACAGTCAATCCATGTCTTCTGGATCAGTGAGCATGTCTTCTGGATTGCTGGGCCTATCCTCAACATGTACCCTAGAGTCACATCTTCAATATGGCCTATCACTTCCAGTCTGTTAAGTAAGCTGTAATTTTAAGTCTAAGGAAGATTGTTTAGTGGTTTTGAGAATTTTCTTCCATTGTGAGGCTTGGATTTGAATTGCAATCCCATTACCCAGAGAAGGGGAGGGGGCAGTGAAGGCGAGGACAGCTTTACAACAACCCGCCAATAATACAATGACACACAGAATAAAATGTGGAATAAAATGGCCACAACTTTTTATTGGTTACAGCTGCCAGAAGCCTTGGCATGGTATGGGTCCACCCGAATCCTGGCATTGACTGACATCAGAGAAAGAAGTGGGCTGCAAAAATCATTAGTCTCCAAGTGCTGAAAGCCTCAAATCCAAAATGTGTGATCAGAATAAGATCTGTATGAAGTCAGCTAGCAGGAACCAACATCCAGGCTTTAAACTTCAGCACCTTCCTCACTTCTTCTGAATCTGCTCCTTTCTTTCCATCACGCATACAAACATTACATGCACTTTCCAATGTGGAGCTAAGAGCAGCTTTTAAAAGTCTTGTTCTACATGTATATATTCTCTGAAATGTCTGGATTCGTGTCTTTTAAAACAATTGCTGACACATCCATATTTCTTTTCTTTTTGCAACAATGAGGGCTAGAAACATAATTTTGTCATAACATGTCCAGTCTAAACCAAGGAGATCAGGGTTTAAGTCATAACTTAACCATGAAGCATCCTGGGTTGCTTTGGATAATTGCAGTCTCTCAGCATCAGGTACCTCACCGGATTGTTGAGAAGATAAAAGGGGAGGAACCACATACACCAGGCTGAGTGTCTTGGTGAAAGGGGGGGATAAAAATGTAAAACAAAATTAATACATGAATCATGGCAAAAAGGTATATCTGCTTTCAGTCTGCAAATATGTCAAGAGCTTGTATGTATCTTTGTTGAAAAAGCCAAGTAAAGATGTTCATACGACTCATATTTTGAGGAAAAGGTGATTAGTGATAGATACAGAGGGACTATTAAGAATTTTGGTGGTCAGCATCAATGCTGACCCCAGTATATTACTTTCAGTGGACCATGCCCAAGACTAGACAAGATTTCTTCAAAGTTGGCATGTGCCACAATTGCACTATTTAGCTTACCTTCTATACAGGAACGGAAAAAATATAAGTGGAGTTGAAGAAAGTGGCTCCATATGGTGTTTTTTTAATAAGAGTTTAAAAATTAGGGAGAATAATAATAGAGCAGTACAGGTGGGGACCTGTGAGAAACTCACAGGGAAACGCCAACATTGTCTTCTGACATATCTATATCCAAGTAGCTTTCCGTATCCTTTCCTCCTACTGCCACCTCTTCCATCTCCTTTTCACATCCTACTTCTTTTCTTCCTCTTGCCCCTTCTTCCCTCAGTCCGCCCTCCCCCCTTCTCACCATTCTGCTTGCCCATCCATCCCTTTCTTGCCACTTTGCAGGGGGGGGAGAGAGCACTGCCAGCCCTCGGGCTTCCTGAGAACATCTAGACACAGTACTAGACCAATAACAAAGTTGCAGGGTAGAAACCATGGAAAATGCCTTATAACAAACAAAGGGAGAAGAAAGGGAAATGATGATCAGATTCAAAAAGGAGCTGAAAAAAGGCAAAACTACAGGGAAAGTTACAACACAGCACACAGACTTTCAAATAAAAAGCAATAAAGCTGATATAACTCAGCTCAGTACACGCTACTGAGGCTGTAGCAGGTTACTCAGAGCATGTGCAGAATTCCTTGCTGTGACAAGATGAGGAGTCCTAAGCCCAAACCAACCTCCTGTGGACTCCAATTTCCACTTAAGACAATGAAAAATCCCAAATGCCCAGTTATGTATGGTCACTGGAATCTGAGCTAAATCAGTCTCCTCTCTTAACAGTGACAAGCTGATTTCACCAATCCAATGCAGAGCACTTCTCTGAGATCAGAGGTAATGTTACCAATCAGAAAATTATCAAATATAGTCCCATCCCCTAAAGCACTTGGTAATGGCTCTGAACTTCCATGACAAATACCAAACGGGATTGTCCTTTGTACACAAGGGATTGTCTGGCAGGATGGTCCAGTGTGGAATGGAAATAAAGGGGTTATTCTAATATAAACAATAGGTGTGAACCCGATGCTCTAGGTCAGGGGTGTCAAACTCATTTGTTATTAGGGCCGGATTTGACATAAATGAGACCTTGTTGGGCTGGGTCATGTGTGACAATAAATATAATGCCAGGTAGTGGAGATAGATGAGAAGGCACCATGACACAGACTGAGGGCTATGTGTTTGTCTACAAAACTAGTCTTCCTCAGTGGTCAGTATCAACCTACTATCTGGGAAGTTTAAATTCAAAATCTCCAAAGGAAATGTGCTGGGTGAACTTGGTCTGGACACACACTCTCAGCCTAATCCACCTCACTGGCTTGTTGTTCTGCATCTTGTTGTTATTCTGCATCTAAATAGTTCACATGGATTTCCTACTGAGAGATTGCATCATGAGGGCGTGAATACAGTGAAAAGGGGGAGGGAACCCAGTTGCACCCAGGAGAGCCACAGCATAACAAGCCGAACAAAACACACACACTGTAGCAAGGCACACAAAAGCTCATACCTTGGATAAAACTTTGTTAGTCTTAAAGGTTGTTTGTATTTCTCCCGTGCGATTGACGCAGTCAAGCAAAGCAAGCTCTCCCTCCTTCCCTTCAGGGAGGAGCCTCATCCAATGGA